CACCACCCCTGCCATTGATTTCCCCTCATCATTATCAAGTGATAGTGATACCATTGGTTATGGATGAATCGACTGACTGAGATGATGTCATATATCAGTTTTATGGCACAGTACAACTGCATTAGTGATGCCTTTCACAGGTGTATAAATCTGTGTGTATGAGGTACCATCTTGTACCACAAAGCACCACCCACTAGACAGACTTTTCTGTAGACAGGAATTATATCTTTAATTATTACAGTATATATATATAGAGAGAGGAATATAGGACTTGACACTATATGTAATTTTAGGGTAAACAGTTTGAGGCTTTTATCTTTGCACACAATGAAGAGCATCTCCCTGTTTTTATGAAACTTTGTAAAAAATACTAAGATTGAATTGGCAATGGGATTTAATAGCTCTGAGGTTCATTTCCCTTACATTTTCCATTTCTAGAGAGAAATTTTTATAATTGGGCATCTTTTAGGTGTTGAAAACATGTTGCTATGAAAGAGTCATAACTTGAGTATTAGCAAGACATTACCAGATATTCAAGAAAACAGGTTTTTTTAACTATAGACAATGTTGTAACTGCAAAGAAGTGATGGGAAAGAGGGAGAAGAAAAAGGGGGGTGAGAACTAATTACTCTAACGTAATAAAGCAGCAGACACTCCTGCCCAAACCATATCTCATTGGGCTAATGCACTAAATTGGACCAGCCCCTCAACCAAATTCTTAATGGAGCCTTCAAGACAGTCACCTTAAAATGCTTAAAAAGTATGAACACTCTCAAATATTTTGATTCATGCCCACATTACTAATGGAAATATAACTGCTATTATTACAGTCAGATTTCATGACTTTTCATTCCTTTTCTACATGTGGATTTTTCAGGCTGATGTTGACACTTAAGCAAGTTATTACAGCTGGTTATAATACATCTGTGAGAAACTTTTGAAAATTACATTTCAGTTAAATAAGGGAATATTTTTACTGTGGAAAAAGGCATTTTTTGGGTGGCTTTTTTGTTGATAAATACATGGTTTTGAAATTGCTGCACAAAAAACCTGGACAGAGAGTTCACAGGTAAAGTGACATTAAGATTCAGATCCTTAGGAGCTGCACTGGGTGCTGTGGGGAAAGGTCACAGAGAGGACAGACTCACCAGCAATGCTGCAGAAGCAAAAGGACCCACCTCTCACTGACGGAGTCAAGTCTGCCAAGAGTGACGAATCTCTTGTGCAAGTTTTGTTCTACAAGGTTAGGCTCCAAAACAGCCATCCTTGTGTTCAGAAAAATCATCACAGAATGTGCACAACTGCTGTCAAAATGTGCAGGAAAAGATGTGAATAAAAGTTTATTTAATCAGAAAACAATAGCCAACTTTTCTAAAACTGTATTCCAAGAGGTCCCTACCCTTTCACCAAGGGGGACTTCTATCATATTCTCTAAAATCTGCCATGTCAAAAATGTAACTACTAATCAGTGAGGACTTCAGGAACCCTTTCATATTATGATGGACAATGTATCAGAATTAATTAGTGTGAAAGCTGGTGAGGATGAAATGATGGCTAAAACACGAGAAATAATTAGACTGAAAGGTGGTGAAAAGCCCAACAGCCATAAGCTTTCTCTGTGGCTGAGCTAAAGGAACATTTAGATAAACAGAGATCGACAAAGCGAACAATTCCTTCACAGAACACTTTCAAAAATGCATTCTACAATATTTCAAGTTGAAAAAAGGAAATCTAAGATGCTTGCATGCAGTTTATTTCAGCAAAATCTATTATGTGCAAAAATCTAAACAGAAGTCCTCTTAAAATATTTTCAGCAACTATACATTTCTATGGACCAACATGAGCTTGAATTGCCTTTTACTTATGACACAGAGGAGACTTCCTGAATACGTAGGGCCATTTGTTGTCAACTGCTTCACAATGTATATTCATGAAAAACGTTGAAGGTTAGGTACTTTCAGTGTGTGGAATGTTACCTGGAAGAAATGTCATCAAAGCCGGCACTAATATGGGGTGGGGAAAAAAATCAGGCTTGGCAGTGTTTGCAAGTGTTCAGTTTGTAACCTCAAAACTTAAGGAGGACAGTCTGAAGAAACATATCAGGAGTTATCAGACTCTTTCCTCAGCTCTACATACACATAGTATCACACTGTACCTTTCAAAACCTCATAAAACAGTACAGTATCTAGCAGAAGTTGATGCTCCTCTTGTAAGTAATAACTCTTATATTGCTCCTTTAGCACACAATTTAGGGAATAAACAGCAGTGCCATCTGCCCCACCCCACAAAGGACCAATTTATGAAGCTCAGCAGTTGTGGACAAATCTTGATCTGCTGTGGTGATACAGTACTCACAACAACCTGAAGGATGAGCTCTGCTGTCATCTACTGATGAACAGCAGTGCCAAATGGTTTGCCAGGCCTTGATATGGAGAACGAAGTAATAATGAAACACTTTGCATGGACCCAACTAGAGAGACAAATGTGACACTTTTCAGCTCCAAATGCTGCATAAGCATTAAGTACCTGATGGCTAAGTGTGGCTTTATCTTTCCCTTAGCATTTAAACATATTTGAGAGAAAGAATGTCCAACTTGACACACTAGAGAGGGATGAAAAGTTAGATTCCTTCCCAAGAAACTACTTTTATGATTACCGATACAGCAATTTTGAAAATGTGCATTGATGCATATAATTCCACATTCTTAAAAATACTCAAGATACAGGTTATGTTACACAAGCTTGGTGTACTTGAGAATGAATAGTTACTTCATTTTTTTCTAAAAAAGACACAAGTCCAAACACCATGCTAGAGATTTTTTTCAATGAGTATTTTAACCAAAACATTTTCAGCATGAATTATACTTTGGTAGAATGGTAGGGACCAAGACAACCAAGTGTTTCTGTCATTTTAGAACAAGATTTGTCAAGGTCAGAACTTCTGTTTTGTGGAAGAGTCTCTTTTGATTAAATTTCCTCATGATCAGGGTGACATTGTTCTGGGAAAGGTACCTTAAGACAGAAAACAGCCAAAACCCCACAATCAGCCTGGGATGTAGGACACACAAGTGGAAATCTCCACTGTTTCAACCTAACAGGGATTCAAATATGACTCAAGGAGTCAAAGAAGGAAAGATGTTCCTTGATCACTTCAGAGGGGATTAGCTTTAAGTGTATGCAGAATCATGCACAGGGAAATCAGTGTCCTAATTTTTTTTTTTAGACAAGGAAGTATTTGAAGCACTTTACTCACCATTCCATGATTTAGCCATGCTGGTATAAAATTATCGAGCAGCTTTGGGTAAACCAGTTCCCTGTCATAGATATAGATGCTCCAAAACATTGTCACAACAAACTAAGGAGAAAAAGAAGGTAAGACACTTTAAATATATGCTTCTGAACAATTAGTTACACATTTTAGATAGCAAAATGGGACATTTAGCAAATTATCTATGAACAGACACAGACATTACTATTCTTTGACTAAATCCTGCTTTAATCAACAGGGTGAATCTGGAATATTCTTTGCATTCACAGAAGTTTTAACTTTCTTCTTTTTTTTCTTGACTTTCAGGTTGGAAAAAAAAATATCATTTTTTGACTTATGCCTGTGGCCAAATTACAGCTGAGTATTATGCTTTAGTAACAGATGTGGCACATAATGTTTCACCACTAGCAGGATAAAAAACAAATGGAATATCAGGTAAAATATCATTTGGAATTCATAGAACATACAAATATGAAACATTCACCCCTGAACAGAAGGGGAGCACTTTTTCATGTCAGTCATCAAAATAGCACTGTTAAAAAAAAACCAACAAACCTTTAACTACTCTGCACACAATTTTGGACTGCGATTCACAGAAAAGAGGTCTGGTATGCTGCTCATTTATCAATATGAAATTTGGCTTGGTCCTCATCAGAGACTATTTACCAGGAGCCCAGAGAAGGACCATTATTTCTTCTAGACTGAGAACAGGGCAGATGGCTTAGATAAAGTTTTCACTAGGCTAAATTTTTGCCTAAGTGTGCACAAATTTTTAACGGATACTCTGTCTGAAAAGCCAAGACAATATAAAACTGTGAAAATTTACAGAAATAATAACTTTAGCTTACCTTATCTGGGGAAGAACAAAGTAATTAATATTTAATTAAAACACAATTGCTTTCTTATTTTCAAGTTGAGTAACAGTTTTCTAGTACTAAAAGGCTTATTGTTTACAGCAGCAAAACCCAATACCTGGGCCAGGAGCTTTTCAGTCACCGTTTTCATGGGATCTCTACACAGTAGCGACAAGTCCAAGTTTAAAGTTTAAGAGGCAACAGATAGGACTTTCATTGAGATCTGCAGGAAATTATTCAGTTATATCCAAAGTGATGTGGCCCATGATCTTACAGCTAATTTGGAGGGTCAGTAAAAGGAAGTGCAAGAAGTATGGGGTGAGCCCAGCAAGGTAAAAAAATTGCTAGTGTGTGTGACAGTGTAGGCATAAGTTGTTTCATAGGCTTCTGACTTTGGAAAGTTGAAATTGAGGTTGCAGTTTATCAATGGCACCTTGTTCTAACCACAGACACTGGCCAGCCAGTTATGTGAATGACGTGAACCAGGACACTGTTCCCTCAGTGTGCATACAGTACATAGCTTCTTGGTTTCCAACACACTTGTCCATCTGTTACGATAGATATTGGTGCCTGCTCAGAATAAGCCTGGCCTATTCAACTAGTGCACTGAGGCCAGGGAAAGAAAAAAAAAAAAAAAAGAAAGAAAGAAAAAAAAGAGGTTATGATGGACAGCTTGAAAAACACTGCAAGTGTAAAGTATCCAACAAGAAGTCTCTCTTCTGGGCCAGTCTTGGCATTGGCACAGCCTAGCTCTTTACGCACCTGCCGACACATAAGTGCCAAGATATGAATAGCTGAACAGCAGGAAAAATGGAAGCAAAGTATCCTCTTCTCTACAGGCTTCCTAGAAGTCATGTATTATCACAGTGGGTCTCTGAAAACCTGCTAAGACCAACTGGGACATAGAAATATATTCTCAGGCACATGAAGACCAAATCTGATAATGCTTTTACCAAGGAAGTCTTTACAGCAAGAAAAATCAGCCATGATTGGGTTGAACCTTATTACACACAATACAACAAAGCTGGCATGCTTTGACCTGTGATTTTTTTGTGGAGCAGAATGAAACAATAGACTTTGCCAAGGAGGTAAAGATAAGAAAGGAAGGGACATGCCATCTGTCCCTTAACCAAAGTCAGCCAGTGGATGGAACAGGATCAGCCTAGCTGGTTGCAGCCATCTGGAGCCACAGACGGCAAACGCTGCTTAGCAAACACTATCGCAAGGCAGACATAAGGTGAAGGAAGTGCGCAAAACCTCAGGTGCTGCAGAACTCACCTACCCTGGAGGACAACCCCACACAAGACCAACACAACGCCCTGGGGAAGATCCCTTCCAGCATCTGAACGGTTCACCTTACTTTCCTTATCATTAGTTCATTTGGCTAAAACAAACTACAGAACTGAACTATCGCACTGTGAACTAAAATGAACTATAAAAAAAGAGCCATTTGGATAAAAAGAATAATAATGAAGACTTGGTATTTGGCTGCTTCTGAATTTACTTTGATTAATGAGCAACTGTCGGTCTGGTACTTTTAAATCACCTCTACAACGCTTACACTTTGGTACTGGTAGACTTTTATTTAGACTGGGCTTTGTCAGGATCACACTTGGTCATGCAGTGCCAGATCATTACACAAGTGAGCTGCTTCTTCACACTGCCTATGCAAGGCGCCATCAGAACTGCAATTCTTATGCTCATGCTGCCTTCCTTCTGGCACAATTCCTCACTATTGTGGAGACAGTACTGGTACTACCCTCACATTCCCAGCTGAATGGGCTGCTCATATGCAGCAGACATCTTTTAGGGAGCCAAATAATTCCCCTTTGTTCCCAAGGCAAAATGGCACAAATGTCACCCTTCCACTTCCTCTTTAGGTAAACTCGAGGCCTGGAATTCAATGCAGAAAACAGGCACCAACTTTTACACTTCTTTGCACAGGACCTCCTAAGTCTACCAGCTTTCTTAAAACAGTGATTACTTGGCTAAACATAAGGCTAAGCAACGTATAAAAGAATAGAGGAGTCCCTCATTTGCTACTCATTCTATCTAGGCTCACTACAGGCCAAAGGGAACCCCACATTTGTAGACCTTGGAAACTCTTTGAAAATATGGAGTACCTCACTTGCCACAGGCATCTCAAGTATGGCTAAACAAGTGAGTGCAGCAGCAGGAAAAAAAATAAGGCTGAAAACTAAACTGCTTTCCCCCTTTAAGAGATATTCCGTGAGTTTTTTTCCTCCATCTCTGAAGCTTCAGAGGACATGAGAAGAGCCTATGGCACTGCCAAGGGAAAAATTTTTAAGGACAGGTTGGGAAGCAGTTGGCAAAAGTGGCTTTATCAAAACACCACAAATGGGAGCAAAGAGAAACTAAGAGAGGAAAGCCAGTGAAAATAATTGCACTATTTGCTGTTTTACATGAGCCTAACCAAGAAATGTTATGCAAACGAAGAATGAACCCAGTGGAACTTTATTTTCCTGAACTATGTGTTTGTGTTTTTGGCTGGGCTGCACTGTTCAGTTCACTCATTTCCTGCATGGCCTCACCACAAACTAAAAAAAAAACCAACCCTTTGACCTTGACAAAATGTCTTCTAAATACAGTTAAAGGTAAGCTTTCTGACTATCTCCCAAGACATCTGTGGTTAACTGTGAGTATAAACATATTGTTTGTGAGCCTCTTTGAGGGTTAAAGGCATTACACATAGAAGGAAAGTGTTACTAAAGGTAAACCACAGGAAACACAAATTGGCCTGGAACTGGCTTAAGGTGGGATCTAGGGCTAGCACAGCATCACACCTAAGTAATTTGAAAAGGGCCAGTGAAGAAAATCACAAGTAGTGGGAACTGAAAATCAAGATAATAGGGTAGAGGACCACTGCTCGCTCATGTTCCCATCATCTGCCACCATGTCACCACAGATGAGGGCAAAATCCAGAAGAGAGAGATTCGAGCACGGTCGAGTCAGTTATGCAAATAGAAGTATTTTGTAGTCTGGTCAAATAATGAGGTAAGGAGCAGACTGCAGCAAATGCCTGCACATCTTTTCTTGGGATAAGATCTCAGATCAGCATTATTGATGCTGCAAGGAAGAAAGATCAGCTTTCCTTTTGACAGTACCAGTGCAGAGAAACAAGAGATAAGAAAGCATGCGTGGCTTTCTCTCTTTTGCATCACAGGTTTTTAAAAGCATAAAAGTCTAATATAAAGAATAGGAAATCTCTCTAGCCAGTTTAGACTCAGATCCGAACAGAGCTATTAAAGATACAGGATATAAAATATCAGTGGTAGAGTTCATGATTTTCTAGGCAGAAATCTCTCTTCTAATATGCAACAATATAAATTTTCTTTCTTCTTCCCATTTCTATCAGACACAGTCTGTAACAACTAGAAATGCCTGTTTTATCTCTTTCTTCATCTTGTTTGGTACAAATTACAAGAAACATATTGATAAAACCATATACAGCTTACACAAAACACTAATTAACCACAGAAACTTGGCAACTTCATGATCTATGTCAAACAAATAGAAAAAAGTTGGGATAGTTAAACTACTGGTGTAGTCTTTTACTTTAAGCATGTCTCACACTTCCCTAGAAGTGCAAATTATTCCCATTGCAAATCTCCTTTGCATTGATAAAGGGGTGTAAGTGCAGTATAGATGAGAATTGATAATGAACTTCTAAAATATCTGTGCAAGCATGGCTCTTCAGTGGATGCTTCTGATCTCGTAGGCATTTGAACAGTACCCCAGGTTTACCATAAACTAAAAAAGGGCTAATAATTGTTGCCCACAGATTTTTTGTGGATTAAGATTTTATTGCATAGAAAATTGGTCTGTTGATTTGTAATTTCATTCTCTTAAGAGCTGTATTAAAAAGAGCAACATAAGGTCAACATTAGTCATTAAGCTTTTCAAAGAATTTATTTCTTGATGGTCCTAAACAAAATGGTAGGTTGGCAATTCAGTTTTATCTTAGCCCCCAAAGATACACAATGCATAACACAACACTGGAAAGATGTGATTTTCTGCAAAGATTTTGCAAGGTTTGATTTGTTGCTAAGCCACCCAAGGAGACTGTTTGCCCTTGGGCTGGTTCTTTCCCCTCCTTTGGAAGGTGGGAGGAGGTTGGTGGTCAGACTTCCCAGGTGGTTTATATGTAATACTTTTTTAGGAAGTACTAAAAATGAAATACTTTGTTACTTTTTTTTTTACACATTGTTTGACTTGGGAGTGGAAACCCCTTTTCTCATATGTTTTTCAGAACAAGTCATCTCAAGGGCTGTAGTAAGCAGGAAATACAGAAAAAATTGTGTTGAATTGCTCTCAAAAAAACACAGCTAGCGGGCTTTAAAATGTTCCCCTACTATTTGCATTATTCCCTAAACACAGTCTGTGTAAAATACTGAGCAATAAAAATAATTTAGATGTTAAGGTAACTGACAAGTACTTAAGCATGACCACTGCTGTTACATTAAAAACCCAACAAGGATTTTATTCACATCCGGCCAGTTTTTATGTGTGACGATTCCCTTGTGTCGCTACTGGAAAGCACTGAGAAGCTCCATGAAGAGCTAGGTGGGTGAGTCTCCAAGAAAGAAAGTTTGTATTTGAACTTCTTTTGCTCTTTTTTTGAGTAAGGAAACTGTTAGAGAATATGGGAAATGAGGGAACTATAACTTTTTCTTTCTGCAGACACTCTGGTGTTTAATAACTTCCTCCCAACAAACACCTCTGGCATACCAGAATTTCACTGGTTATTTTCTTACACATAAATAGCTCTTTAGGGAGCACAACCAGCATTAGACACTTGCTACCTTTGGGCCCTGAACTTTTCCTTCCTGTAATCCCAACAAGTAGAGCCTCCAGTGGCTGGCAGTCCCTCAGGCACTGGCCAAGATTTTAACAAGGGGCAGTTGCGGTGTAGTGGGCTCTGCTGGAGACCAGTGTCATAAAGTGCTGCTGGTACTCCCAGTAGCCAGGAGAAGAAATAACAATGAAAATTTTTTAGATTTGCTTTGTAAGAAGTAAAGTGAAACAATATGTGGCAATCAATTGCTCCCTGTCACCACAGAAAGGTCACCTTTGGAAATGGAGAACATCTGTCCAATGAGCATAGCCATTTCTTACTATTTTCTGGATTTTCGTTTGTTTGTTTGTTTGTTTAAGACATCAGTTGCTTCTGTACGAAACCCTTGGGAAAGCAGCCAGCTCCAGGTATGCAACACTTCCCTGGGGAACTGCTAACTTGTAAATGTTGCAACAGTAGTTCAGTGCAGGCAATGGTTAGCTGGGATTCTTAGCTTACTGGTGGAAAAAGAAACAAGCCCTGAAAGAAATGGGCAGAATTGCCAAGACAAAGTGATGCTGAAAATCTCCAAGATCTTGAGAAGTTTCAAGGTCAGGAACACTGGAGGGGTGGAGGAGCACACAGACAACAGTATGGAGCTATAACAGCAGGAGAGAATCCCTGAATCTTGAGTAGTGTGAGAGAGCGCCAAAAAGGGTGTGCTTTGATGCATGTAAAGTCTTGCTCTTATGCTTCTACATTGAAAAAGGCACTTCAATCTTTAAATAAAGACAAATAATGTGATGTTGTTATCCTTCTTCACTCCACTATCAACACAGTAGGAAAAGCATCTGTTGCAAATCACCATCACAACTCTTCTAATTCTCAATCTCCCTTAAAATACAAATGTAACATATAAATCTCTGCACCCACAAAATTCATACTTGCAAGCCTGTTTATGCACAGATTTTTTTTTAACTGTATTAGCTGATCCAGTTTCTTCTACTGTGGCTGCAGAACTGTAGTTTGTTCCCCCAACATGAATCATAGCAGCTCCCAAGAGGCAAGCCAGTAAATATAGTAAGAGAAGGCTACCAACTGGGTTTTTATTAAATACCTGCACAGTGTTTCACATATAATTTGCCTTTTCTAACTTTGCAAAAACATTCTTTACTTCTTCATGTACTGTGAAATACCACATAAATGGTGAAATCATATTTTAATGAAGCATCTCTGAATATATCAAATTATAAATGATCAATTGATATGTTAACTGCTGTTAAATGACAGTAAGAGATCAGCTTTTGTGCAACAGTGCAACTTTAGAAACTTCATACAGTTTTCTACTAGTCCTACCATGAAAAAAAACTGCTTCTAATGAATTTAAATTACTGTACACTGAAATAAAAAATTAGAATTAGAGACTGATCCTGAATTACTACAAAAGGAATACTTTAATGAAAGGTTCACACATTTTTATTTAATGTAACCTAAACTTAGAACTAGACTGACACAGACCACACTAGCATGTAAAACTCATGGAATTCTGGATTTTCAGCTCCTTTCAGTGTGTGGTATGAGACACATGAAGACACCTAGCACCTTTTGCCACTGAAAGCAATCTGCAAAGTCCAAGAGGAACAGTAGCTGATCCAAGAAACTGTTTTCTTTTCAAAAAGACATGTAAACTCCAGATTTTTCCACACCTTCTGTGTGCTTTTTTATGTTACTGACAAACCCCTTTTTTCCCTTTCCTGTTTCTTCTGTCAGCTCTGAATACCCCATGGGATTAACAGCAACCAACCTGGACTTTCACTTCCCTTCTTGCTGATGAAAAAATAGCTTAACAGCCCTAACTCGGGTCAGGTCACTACAGTGTAAAACATGCCAGTCAGCATTTTCACTGTTCTTAATTATGAGACACAGTGCAGAAAAAGTACAAATGGCCTCTCAAGAAGCTGCTGGTACAATTCACATTTGAAATTACTTGTACCATTAAATTCCTATTGTAAATTACTTTTTTTTTAATAATCAAAGATTCAAAGATAATTTTAGCAACAAAGCTAGCTCTGTTTTTTCTTTTTCCACTTAGTCTTTTGTGTAGAGGTGGGAAGCCTTTCAGCCAGAAAACAATCAGTAAATAACACTGCTCACCCAGTTTGTAGACATGTGCAGATCGACACTGTACTTACCACTCCGACAGGGAAAGCCAGAACAGCCATCATCCAGTCACGGAGGGAAATGAGCTTTTTCAGCTGCCTCTCTTGTTCTTGACTGTCATTTCCTTTAGTGAGAAGACTGGACAGGTCAGTCAAGACGCAGATCCCGAAGAAGACAGCCTGGATAACCTGCACAGAGAAGGAGACACACTCTTGAACACAGACAAGACCAGTCCAGAGAGCAGATTGGATGAGTGGGAAAACATCAGTCCCATAAATATGGGTAGAGCTGTTTCACATAGAAGCCACTTGGGCTTCTAGGCTGCCCTGCATGCAGCATGTGTCCCAGGCTCCCACAAATCAACTACTACTTCATCTCAAGTAGCAAGTGACAGAACGAACAAGATGCAGAAGTTACTCAAGCCTTCTTCTGGTGATGGTGGACTGTCATTTACCCGCCTGTTCCTTCATGTGTTTATGCATTTGTGTGCAGTATTGTCAGATTATGTGTTGTATTAGATCAGTAACCACATGAACACAATGATTTGGTTCGAACTTGAGTTGATCATAGATCACTGCACTTTTCTTCCTTAAGTACCTGAGTAAAATTGCAATAAGCTAGCTCAGGAATGCTATTGCCTAAGGACCTAGGCATCCTTTCTAGCACAGTTCAGAGAAGGTGCATGCAGGTTGTTTACTCACCGAGCTGGAAGCCCAGTTCACAAACCCACACGCACCAGGTAATCTCAGGTAAGAAAGTAACAAAGCACAGGTTTGGCACACAGAGATTCACCAAAAAAATAAACAAATGCTTAAAATACCTACTAGATGTTTCTCAAAGCAAGCATGGAGTAATAGTCTAGAAGTCTTATCTGTAAAGCTAAGCATTCCTCTGACTAGGAAACTAAGCATCCATAAGCAGTGCAATAAACCACCCTAGGCTAGGGGACACTGACCTGGAATATGGTGGGACGGAGGAAAAGGATAGGGAGGAAGGCAGGAAAAGGAGGAAGGGCAGAGCAGAGCAGGGCAGGGAAGGGAAGAAGGGAAGAAAAGAAGGGAAGAAGGAAAGAAGGAAAGAAAGAAGGTAATAGATATTGGCTACTAGAAAGAAATACAGAAATGTGTAATGGTTAGACGGATTTATGTACATTCTCTTCCTTCATATACCCAAATACTTGTAAACTCTGGCTGTAAAGCTGTGAATAACAGACATTCAAATGGCCCCTGGATCTGGTTGCAATTCTTCTGCCATCGTTCTCTCCTCTGAAGTTACACACAATTTTCTTGATAAACAGATGAAGCAACATTATAAAACAGTCCCTGAAGCCATGAAACCTGACAGACTTCTAGTGCTAGAGCTCTATATTGTGCAAGAAAAAGGTATTGCTACTTCAAATTACTGTCTCAAAAAGTTACCTTCTCCTACACAATTTCTGTAAAAACATTTTACATAAAAGCTGTGGCTACTTGGAGCTGTATCATCACACAAAATCCTAACGCACTTTTTCATATTACTTAGTTGAAACAAGCACTTAGTTGGAAAAAAAAATTTTCCCATACTTGGTCCCATTTTCCACCAAACAGATGGCCTATTTGGAGAGAAGGAATAGAAGAACTAATTATGCATTTGCTTGACTTAATAGGACATAATATACCATCTACTAGTGATTCAAAAGAATGCCAAAGGAAAAATATTTAAGACAGGATTGGGAAAAAAAGTATACCTAACTGTAATGAAATCAATCTGGGTGTTAAAGAGTTTAGGCTGAGTACCAGGAAATATTTCCTAACAGTGAGCTCTGTCAGACCATGAAATAGTTTCTCAGAGGAAGTGGTGGAAGCCTCATGGCTTGAGTCACTCAAACCGATATTGGACAAAGCATTTCAATGTACTGCAGGGAACAGTATTACACTGGCAGGGCTTGGATGAGTGACTAATAGATTGTTTGCAGCTCTAACTACAGTTCCCTGAAATGGTTGCTCTCCAAAGAAACACAGACTCAAAACAATCACACGCCCACTTTCCAAGGGAATTGAGATTGTACATCCACTAATCAATCACAACCCGAATAGCTTCTATCCCCATTATCCTGTTATGAACACACTGCTTCAAGGGAAAGATAATGATATCATCGGGAATAACTGAAAACTCCTAAAGGGAAAGGAAGTACCCAAATATTTCAGAGAGTAGGTACGAAGTAAACTATTCTACAAAAATATTTACAAATAAAAATACATACCGGAGAGACAAAATTACATCTTTATTGAGAACATTCAGACCCAATGAAAAAATTATGTCGTGTTTGGGAAGGAATAGTTCCAGCATATTCCTTTTCTTTCTAGAATGTGCAGGAAAACTCTTCTGACACCTCCCAACATTTAGGATTAGACTGAAGACCTCCAGAGCTGCAAGAGTCTCAGTAGCATAAACTGAACAGCCACAGTCAGTAACAATTTATGTCTTTTGTGGGTCTGGCATAGGAAAGGCATAGCATGCGGCTATTGGTGGTTTATGGTATGAAATGAACTTTCAAAGTCCATGCTCCTTGGTGTGAATGCTAACAGATGTGAAAAGTTCACAGAAAGGGAGAAGAAACTCCCTGTAAAAAATAGTCTCCAAGGTGCTCTGGTGTTACCTCAGTTTTAGGATCACATCTGCAAAATGAGGACCTTATTTTGAAAATCTGCAGGTGGTATATCTATACTTGAAACATCTCCAAAAAGTTAAACAAACAGTTGACTTTTTTTTTTCCCCTTGGAAATGTAAGCAATAATAACACTTCAGAGGAAGTATCTTCCAATATTGCCTCAAACCACAGTTTGAAGGAAAACACTGAGTTAGAAAATGACATGTAAATTTGACAGAAAACGGCCATACATCCCGTATAACATGTAACAGTGATAGAGTCAGAAACTTGCAAGCAGAGTATGCAAAACCAAGAAAAACATGTAAAAAATACTAACTTACTGCTGATCCCATTTTCTTCAGTGAAGCCTTGAGGGGCCACTGCTACCCTAGTTGATGCTATAGTACCCTTAAAATGTGATAACATGATGACAATTAATGGAAACAGCTACCCACAGGTATTTTAGGGATACAAAACTCTGAGAAAAAAAAAACCCCAACTTGCTAAGTTGCTGCAGGAGAAAACAACTATGAACAAAAGATGAACCAACCAGACCAGAAACCTCAAACACTGAGATCTATTCATATAAAATATCAGAAAATACAGTTTTTATTGTTCCTCACAAACAATTAGAATAAAGCAAACTAAAGTCTCTCTCCTACAAGAAAACTAAGACTTGCTTCAGTAGGACAGTCCTTCCACAATGTGCTTACTTCAGGGACAGCAGCTAATGTCTTCCTCGTACTCCCCCTAACTTGTCTTCTAAGAGTCAGACGCAAAATAGATGTTTACAAAACTTTCTTTAGGGTATGGAGACTCCTTTCTTCCCTGTGCTGTGGGGCTCCACAGTGCAGACAAAGTATCTGCACAAATGAGGTCAATGGAAATTCTGTCACTACTCTTACCAAGGCATAAAACTCCTGTTAAATTCACTGACAACTACCTGAAAGGAGGTTGTACCGAGGTAGGGGATGATCTCTTCTCCCTAATAATAAGCAACAGGACAAGAGGAAGTGGTCTCTAGTTCCATCAGGGAAGTTTAAATTAGATATTACTATAAACTTCTTCACTGAAAGGGTTATCAAACACTGGAACAGGCTGCCCAAGGAGGTGGTTGAGTCACCACCATCGCTGGAGGTGTTTAGAGACATAGAGATGTGGTGCTTAGGGACATAGCATCTGAGCAGGCTGACAAATAAACAAGGCTGCCAGAACAAAACCTGGAGGTAACACTCAGAAAATCAGCAAGTAATAACAAAAGACCATGGAAAATTAAGTAACTTTTACACATTTCAAAATGCCACGTTTGTTCATGAAGTGCATGAGTGTGTGTGTTTGTGAATATGTGTATGTGCCAGGTACTTGTACCATATTTACCAGGTAAGCTTCCACTGTTTAAAGGTAAGACTGCATTTAAGAAAGAGACTTCAGAGGCTTCAAATGTAACCCATATTACTGGAAGACTAATTCACATTAGGGGGTCAGGGAGGCCAGGCTGGTCCCCAGGGACTGGGAGTGGCAGGGCCAGCCAGGGCCCATCCCAGCCCCCAGCCAGGGCAGCCAGGGGTACCACAGAGACCCAGCCCCAGGAATCAGGCATCTCTTCAGGGTCACCAGGCCAAGGCTGGGAGGCACACATGACCTGAGTCATCAAAGCAGCAATCCTGCTTAAAACAACCCAAGGCTTTCCACAGCAAGATGAATGTTTAGCTCTACCAGCAAAATCAAATTTCTGAAAATTAACATTTCTCATGTATTTCAGATTTTATAATCTGCCATTGACAAAATGTGATCTGATTTTCCTTTTCAAACAACAGGACTATGATTTATAACCTCAGAGTATCTGCTACTACTCCTTGTCAATTTATGCCACTTTAGCTTTCATTCCTTCAGCCTCTAGACATTATTGACGTACAGATGTACTATACTTCAGCAATTAAGAGTACTGTATTTTAAGAAACTCTGAAGTAACTTAAGACAGACTTTTAACTCTTTGTTCATTGTAAACACAACTGATTGGACTCTGCTTTGGGACCATGCTTGGTTGTAGCATAGCCTGATACACTGCAACCCACACACAGGTATGTGTGGACAGTCTGTGTCCTGTAACACGAGTTCAGTTATCTTCAGTTTCAATATACAGAGCAAGTCCAGGCTAAGCTAAGGATAACAAGGTATTTTTGATAGAAAATGCAGTGTGTTTACAAAACGAAGCCATGGGCTGTAGCAGGTTATTAAATCTGTTACTGCTCTTGACTGCATGAAGCTACTGATTCTTCTTATCCATCACCATCCCTGTGTTACTCACAGGCACACTGTTTGTATTCTTGTCACTCCTCCCCTTGCTGTATCTTTCCTAGTTACAAACACAAGCAAAAGCAGTGCAACACATAATCAAGTGGTACATCTTTGTACCAGAGAGGCTACTGACTTCAGATAAGGAAAAGGCAAATCTCTGCGTCTACAGACAAATTAAAGACTGACATAAAGAAATAAAAGCAAGAAGCAACCACATTTTAAATGCAAAAATAAAAGTCAGTGTAATGTGTCTAACCACTAAATCTACAATTAATTAAAGTTGAAGTACACTGTGAAAAAGTTACTGTGTGCTACTCAGAAACATCACTTTCATTCAAGGAATGGGGGAAAAGACTTGTATATTAAAGGCCAGAGGTAAAAGAGCAGCATCAGCCCAGAAGATTAATTGATTGACATTAATTTGGGGCATGCAGTCAGAACTCGTTATCACACCTCCCACACCAGCTGCAGTGCTACAGCTGTTTTAGTTTATTTGTTGAAGCAGGTTTCAACAACATCATAGGCTATTTCAACACAGAAAAGGAACAAAGCTACTGCCATCACAAGCCTATATAGCCTGAGAAACCAAATATACAACATACAGGAGAAGAGTTAAAGAATCGGGGAACAAAAACAGAATAAGTCCAAAGAACACTTAATGCAAATTACATCTATTTTACTTTGTGTTGTTTGTTGGGTAGGAATCTCCAGTTCCTCATTTCTCTTT